CCACTTTAGGATCTGTTATTTTTGTCATTAAAATAAAGCTTTGTTAATTTAAACAAAACCTGTCTCCTAATGTCTTTACCTGACTCCTAGATTCAAAGCTAATTTGTGAAGCCCTGTCATGTGGTATTTATTGTGCTTTATCATGCTGCCATTTATTTATTTATTTTTACCAATTGCGACAAGTTAGTCGTAAAAATGTTTTTTGGGGTTTTGTTTTTTTCTATTGTTAAGGTATAGATAAAATGGGTACAGAAAATAAAGAGGGGAGATATATGAGTTGGTCACACATCAAAAGTACAGTAATATGCACATTGTTATATATACTCTGTGGCTTGACTGCCTCATTTTTAAGTTTATAACATACAGGCTAAACTGACACATTAAAACCTACAATATAACCATGTTAGCAGGTAAAGATAGTGAGTTAGATGTGTGTTGCAATGTAACGATAGGGTAAAAATAAGATTAATTTAACAAAGAATAATGAGTTGTTGAGCCAGGAGACATGCTAGGTTAAGTAGTATATGGAGAAACAAGCTGAGCTATACACATGTTAAATGCATCTAGTTGCTCTGAAGATTAGTGTTCACTGTGATCCTGTGCTCTAGGGAAAAAACACTACAGTCAAGGTTATAAGAGGCATTATGGCTTAGTTACATGTACTGGAACACGGTGGAGTGAGTGTGCGAGACATGAGGAAGTCTGTGTGTGGTATTCTCTTTCATCCAATTCCTTCCGTCGGGAGGCGTCTGGAACCTGCTGAGGACCGCTTCTGTAAAGGTGCGGGTGAGGGTCTCCCTCCAGCCTCAGGCTGGTGTGTAGGCCTGCATCTCTTGGCCATAAACTCTGTGACTTCTGAAGCCCGAGTTTCCTCCGCGTATGGGAGCGTAGGCGGGCCTTGTGTGTGGCTGCCACTTGCGGTGCATGGGCCACCGCCAGTGTGGGAGATGCTGTTGGGTCAAAGCACTCCTGTCCTTCAGCCTGGGTGGGCTAGGGAGAATGAGCGTCGGTGGGTATACGGGTGCTGTGGCTCCCTGCGACCCTGCTCATCCGCTGCCATGGAGCCTTGCTGTGTGATCTGCGCTGCCTGCTTACATCTCCGTAACCTTTGAACAATTCTTCTAGGCACTGCATGATATCCACGGTGGTACCATGAAGGTGCTTTTGATTTGGGAGCAGGCTCAGGTTATGTGTTTTGATCCAAATGAGTTGCTCCGGATGCACAGCGAGGACCAGGATATCCCCCACCGGTCCAAAGGGAGGAAGAGTTGAAGAAATGAGAATTTTGGGACTTTCATGCCAGTGTGCGAGTGAGAAGAGCGGCCGCCTCTCCCCTGTTTGATCCCGGTAGGCCTCAGCAGCTGAGCCCGGGCTCCCAGTTGGGTATGAGAAGGAGTTTGGTGTCCAAGAGTTCACCCGGGTGTCCCCAGCACCACTGTAGCACTCCAAGTCTCGGGCGTACTGATTTTTCTGGGGTTATTTTTTACCCCCAAGCAGTGAGTTTCGTCAGGAGCTTGGTCTCGGGACGTCCGTTCAGCCTGGTAGCAAGGCTCCTCCCCCTTTTCATCCTTTTTCATACACATTGCATGTTTGCAGTGCAATTTGTAAATATGATTTACAAATGACTTCAGAAAGATCATGCCAAATATGCAGACAATATAACAGAGCAGCAGGAAATGCTAGCAGAATGCTTGGTTGTATAGGGAGAGGTATTAGCAGTAGAAAGAGGGAAGTGCTCATGCCATTGTACAGAACACTGGTGAGACCTCACTTGGAGTATTGTACGCAGTACTGGAGACCGTATCTTCAGAAGGATATTGATACCTTAGAGAGGGTTCAGAGAAGGGCTACTAAACTGGTTCATGGATTGCGGGATAAAACTTACAAGTTAAAGGAACTTAACATGTATAGCTTGGAGGAAAGACAAGACAGGGGGGATATGATAGAAACATTTAAATACATATAGGAGATCAACACAGTAAAGGAGGTGACTATATTTAAAAGAAGAAAAACTACCACAACAAGAGGACATAGTCTTAAATTAGAGGGCAAAGGTTTAAAAATATCAGGAAGCATTACTTTACTGAGAGGGTAGTGGATGCATGGAATTTCCAGCTGCAGTGGTATAGGTTAACACCGTAAAGGAGTCTAAGCATGCGTGGGATAGGCATAAGGCTATCCTAACTATAAGATAAGGCTAGGGACTAATGAAAGTTTTTAGAAAATTGGGCAGACTAGATGGGCCGAGTGGTTCTTATCTGCCGTCACATTTTATGTTTTCTATAATGAGTGCCAGTATGATACCCCCAAAGTGTTCCCCCAGCCATTATTTCATTAAGTTACAGTTCCATATAAAAACAGGAAAACATCAACTTTTACAGTGAGATTTTTTTTTTTATAGTTGTTTTTATGAATCTCTGTATCATTTTGGAGCAGTTTTCTAGTATGTTACCACACACCAGGGTAATTCAATGGCATATTTTGAACCTTATTGTGTTGGCATTTTTCACCAGGTTCTACTAAGTGTAGGGATAATTGTTTTTGTTTTTTTACTGCCTTTTTCCACACATATAGAGATTTTTCTGCATATTTTGTAATCCTTATGTGTGCTGTAGCATAGTGTTAGCATAACACTAGATATGTTGCTCAGCTATGTCTTCTCAGTACAGCAATATCCCAATGTGTACATTTGCCACATTTATGTAGATGTTGAAAGGGCAAGGTTGAGATGTAGTCGTTTTAGTTTTTAAGAGTTCATTTCTTGTAAAAGAGAGTTCTGCAATGTTTTATTCACTTTTTATTTTTATTTTTTACATGTACTTCACTGATCCCTGTCTCTCCACTTCACAACACAGAATGAGGTGGAGAGAGGTGGGTCAGATGGCCACACAGCACAATGACCACTGTGACTGGCTGCCACAGCACACATAACGCTGAGGCATGCAGCTGCAATTGATAGTCCATCTGCTGCTTATTGCTAATTCTGCCGCTTGGCGGAATCATTCAATCATGTGCCCATATGGGTAGGACAACCATTATGGAATGATTTCATCATGTGTCATTAACGTGAAAAAAATTACTGGCAATTGCAATGCAATAAGCTAAAGTAGTTGAATTAATGAATGACAATCTTTCTGTTTCTGTCTGAAATTTGCAGAATCAAACATTTTCCTCTTTCATCAGTTCACCATGTATGTGTATGGTTACATTTTCTGCAGTATTTTTGTTTTATTTTGTTACTTTTATTCCCATGGCAGTAAGTATTTAACAATTGTTTTGTTTTTTAGTGTCAACAGAGTATTCAGCATCTTCAGAGCCAGGATGGGGGTGTAGACCAATCAGTTCTTTTTCAGGTGTGTATTCAATGTAACCTGATAAAAAGTTATTCTTACCAAAGTATATGGCTTTTAGCAGCGTGGTAGTGCCATTTTTAAAACTGTGTACCATGAACATTGGAATTTAGTCACAAAGTTCGTTCTGGTGATTTCAGCGTGGACTTGGGTTTTTATCTCACTAGCTGTAATATGTGATCAGGGGTTTTATATAACAGGTGACAGTAACATCATTAAAACCACTGACAATTGAACGGAAAAACATTATTGTTACAATGGCACCTCTTAAGGTCTGGATATAACAGACAAGAAATTAACAGTCAGTTCTTGAATTTAATGTGGCGGAAGCAGGAAAATGGGCAATCTGAGTGACTTTGACAAGAGCCAGATAGTGATGGCTAGTGGAGTGCGGGGTGTTCCAAGTATGCAGTGGTTAAAGGACCACTCTAGGCACCCAGACCACTTCAGCTTAATGAAGTGGTCTGGGTGCCAGGTCCAGCTAGGTTTAACCCTTTTTGCAGTAAACATAGCAGTTTCAGAGAAACTGCTATGTTTACATTAGGGTTTATCCAGCCTCTAGTGGCTGTCTCATTGACAGCCGCTAGAGGCACTTCCGCGCTCCTCACTGTGATTATCACAGTGAGAAGATGCCAGTGTCCATAGGAAAGCATTGAGAATGCTTTCCTATGGACTGGCTGGATGCGCGCGCGGCTTTTTCTGCGCATGTGCGTTCAGCCGATGACGGAAGAAGAGGGAGGAGAGTCCCAGCGCCGAGGGAGCCCGGTGCTGGAAAAAGGTAAGGGATTAACCCCTTCCTCCCCCTTCAGTGCCACGGGAGTGGGACCCTGAGGGTGGGGCACCCTCAGGGCACCATAGTGCCAGGAAAAAGAGTATGTTTTCCTGGCACTATAGTGGTTCTTTGATAGATGCAACCAAAAATGGTGCAAGAAAGGATAAAGAGTGAACCGGCATCAGGGTCATGGGCGCCGAAGGCTCACTGATGTATGTGGGGAGAGAAAGCTAGCCTGTTTGGTCCGATCACACAGAAGAACTACTATTGTTTAAATTGCTGAAAAACTTAATACTGGTCATGAAAGAAAGGTGTCAGAACAGTGATGAATCATGTTTTCTTCTAGATCAGGTGGCTGGCCAAGTGCATGTGCGTCGTTTACCATGGGGAGTGTTCCCTGTTGTTAGTAACCTCTTTCAGCAGAATAATGCAATCTGCCACACTGCAAAATTTGTTCAGGAATGGTTTGAGGAACATAATAAATAGCTTAATGCAAATCTGATTCACTGAAAGATGGTTGTTTTGGGGGGAAAATAAATAGTCCGTATTTCCTCATCCAAAATGTCTTATTTTAATTAATTTTTACATTTAAGTAGAGGTTTTTGCTTATTTGTTTCAACAGAGATTTCAAGCTGCTGGAGTAGAAGTAAATGTGGAGAACCTTAGAAACGTTACTAATGCGGTTACCTCTCTCTTTAGGTAAGCACATGCCTGATACAAATGGTTACATTTACAAATCGGGAAAAGCAAAGCACTAATTTTGCTTCCATTGAAATGTTCTAATGTACTTCCAACACTGTCCACCAATACTGTAAATATAACATTTAACACTATTTCAAATGGGTTATGTCAATCTGAAACCTTTATACCACTATAAAACCTGCTAGAGGTAACAGTGTCAGCTGCAACTGACATATATCCTAATATGAAAAGCAGACTATGAACTCAATATCCCACTTCAGCTTTTTTACTGTGAACAGTCTCAGAGCTGGATAAAAATCTGAACAAGCATACTGAAGTTATGTGGTTATCTCAATGGGTAAACTAATAGTTTAATTTGGGGGGGAATAAACATTTTGTTGTGCAATACTTGTCAGTTATAAATGTCTTTGAATTCCTGAGCCAAGTAAGGGTAAGCTTTTTGTTGAGTGCATATTAAAAGCATACACTAAGCACCAAAACCATTTTAGCTTAATGAAGCAGTTTTGGTTTATAGATCATGCTTTCGCTGTATCACTGCTTAATCATCTGTCATTTAGGAATTAAAGGGACACTGTAGGCACCCAGACCACTTCAGGTAATTGAAGTAGTCTGGGTCCTGTGACCCTTTGGATTCCGGAAGCCCTCTAGTGGCTGGTGGACAAACAGACTTTTTGTCCGTTATCTGGTGCTGGACGTCCTCATGGACCTCCAGCATCTGGGGAGGTTTAATGCGCGAGCGGCCATTGCCATCGGCGGTGGAGGAGCATGGGCAGAGCCTTACCCAGCTCCGAGGGACATCGGCACTGGATTCAGGTAAGTAGCCCAAGGGGTTTTAATCCCTTCAGCGACATGGGATGAGGGAGGGAGGGGGGCACTCCAGGATTCTCTAGTGCCAGGGGAACGGGTTTGTTTTCCTGGCACTGGAGAATCCCTTTAAATTACTTATGTGTCTGCTTATGTAGGCCTAGCCACACCTCCCCTGGCATTGAGTCACACATCCTGCATTAAAAAATGGTCTACTTTAGAAGTTTTTATCTCCTGCTCTGGTATTTGAACTTTAGCCACAAACGGTAGGCTCCTGCAGGTTCTAGCAAGCTATTAACATAACAGTTAGCAATTAAACAGAATGTGCAATATAATAAGTTAAAACATTAGATCTCTCTTTACAGGACATGTGTAGGGAGACTGTGTAGGTCACATGTAGGTTAGGTGTGACTAGGCCTGCATAAACTCCTAAATGGCAAGGAAGGTGACTATAGGGGCATGACATGTACACCATGTTTATCTCTCTTTTGAAGTACGATTTTTAAATAATTGATCTATTCCAGCCATAAATGCTCATGTGTCAGAATTGACTTGAAATTTCACATCCTGTTCTTGTACACTGTGACAATCTTTCATGATAGTTTATTTTTGTCTGCTTCACATTATCCTCCTTTAGGAAATGCTGTTAGCTAACCATTGAAAGGTCTACATTATAATACATAAATTGCAACCCATATTTTACTCTTTTTCTTATACTCTGAATTCTGCACGGTTGTTAGTCCTTGCTCTTAGTGCTAATATGCTACAATCAGGGGCGCCATCAGGGGGTGACAACCATTACGTTTGTCACGGGCCCGACTGCACAGGTAATCCTCTGCATGCCTGGCCCCCCAGCCCTTCAATCTGTGTATATATATATATATATATATATATATATATATAT